CGATTGATTGATCAGTGTGTGCCGATTAGCAACTGCAGCTCCCTCCTCTGGGATGTTTACACGGACACTGCTTGCCTACAGAAGCCTCCTACGGAGACTAGCTATCCCCAGCTGTACCTAATAAATACGCCAAGGTTCCAGGTTGTGGAGGTAGCTGGAGTGGTAGAGAGCCCCACCTGATTCTAGCTTCACTGTACAAGTGTGCGTCCTTCCTTTATGCCCTCACCACCCCTAGCCAGCCACCAGCCCAAACCCACTCCAAGACCCAATCCCTGCAGGACAATGGCAACACATTGTCTTTCTTGAGCAAGCTGTAGCAAGCACAGCTCCCGATTCTGCAGACGGGACCCACAAGGAATTCTGACCCAAGTTTTCCGAGTTAAGAGATTATATTCTATCATAGCATAAGTAATTGCTCGACTTTAAAAATTAAAATATTATTCTCATAACTTGAAATTCACCACTGTGAAGAAGTTATATTTCAAAGGGAAGCACTGTACCTATGAGCAGTCTTTAATTCCTCCCTCCCCTGACAACCACAAATCTACTTTATGTTTCTGTGGATCTTAAGATCCATCCATGCTGCGGCATGTAACAGTGATTCATTCTTCTTTATGGCTGGATAGTATTCCAGCCTGTGGCTACACTATATTTTATCTGTCATCTGTCGATGCCCATTTGGGTTGCTTCTGCCTTTAGCTTTTGTGAACCTTGTTACAAACAGGTTCATGTTTTTGTGTGGTTGCTATTTTCAGTTTTATTGGCATCTCTATGTTTTTTTTATGTACTTGAAATATAGGCAAATCTATAGAACACAGTATCGTTATGACACTGTACTCATTACAGTGTGTTTAGGGCAGGTCTGTTCTCAGGAATACTTGGTGGTCGGTCCCTCATACTGAATCCTGTCCACCTGTACCGTATACTGGGTTGTCTGCATCCACAGATGCCCTGAGTGCTCTTTGAGGGCAGGACTGCCACTGATATGGACTAAATTACTATGTCCCCTAAATTACCATGCCGGCAGCTAGATCCCCAGTGTGGAGATGTTAAGATGTGGTAGAAACTTTAAGGGTCACAGGTCTTGTGTAGGGTTGTTATATGACTCTTCCTGATGAATCTATTTCTAGTCACCCCGGATATGGCAATGACAGATCAAAGAAATCATCACCAGGTCCAGCTTGGTGAGCCAATGAGTTTGTTGGGATTACTCACATGAATGACTCACAAGCAGGTACACCACCGAAGAAGACCACCCCCCCTGCAGTTAACTACTCCTGCATCCTCAGTGAGGGGAGAGATCCTACGCACCTTGTGAACCTCACTCCCCTCGGAGCCTTTCCTACCTTCCACCTGGGAATGTTAGGTCCCATCTCATAGGGGGACCTCCTGTGAGCAGTCAGAGTTGTGCTAATTCAAGATGGCGATGACCACATCCACCCTGGGAGAAACTGCCACACAAGAGGTGGTCGGGCTACTGAGGGTGTCACCCTCTGCAGAGGTTAGCATAGTTTCCTGGGACCTTAACCCGTTTTCTTAAAAGAAAGCCATTACTTAAGGAAGCGAACCCAAAACAACAATAAGAAACAAAACAAAACCAGCAAACGGAGTTCAGGCCTCCCTAGAGCCAAGCAGGTGACGTTGGGTGCTCTTGGATCCCAACCTCCAAATCTGAGCTTTGAGCAAACTTCTTGTCTTTACAAAATACTCACTTTCAAGCATTCTGTCATAGTCCCATACAACGAGTCAACGGGCCCATTCACGGTCACGCAGAGCCCCTCCCGACACGTGCTGTCACGTACTTGTGTGTGCCTCTCTCCTGCGCTCTCACTGCGTGATTGTGTGACTGCAGTGTCTAGATTGACCCCTGCAGGGCAGTAACAGTCAGCGAGCAAATGAGTTCTCTTTTTCTCTGTCCAGAAAGAGACAGAGTCTTTAATTAGGCATAGAGGCTCCTCCCGTGGAGCTTGTAGTTAAAAAAAAAAAAAAAAAAAAAAAAAATTCCAGTTAGATTAAAAAGTCCAAGGTGAATCCTGGTACCCTTTCCTCTGCCGAAGGGAGGATGCTGCTTGGATTGGGTGGAATTGGAGCTCAGGATTCGGCCTCTAGGGATTGTGTGAGGTGGTCCCAAGTCCTTATCTGAAGTGAAATTGGTGAGTCCGGTACAAGCCTGAGGAAGGAAGAGACACAGGAGCCACTGGCACCATCCAGCATGTCTAAACGGTGTCTAAGACAAGAATACATGTGTGTCCACAAGAGTGAGTGTGCCTGGCTGTGGATCTGAACTCTGGGGTGGGAAGAAGCACCCGTGGCGCCCCCGACCCTGGGGAAATAGAGCCAGGGACGACTGCAGAAGAAAGCTGGCTGCTCCCTAGACATCAGTTTTGCTCAGACCTTAGATGTCCCCCAAGACCCGTGTATTGAATGCTTGGATCCTAGTTGATAATCCCACTGATAGTAAAGCTACTAGGAGGCGGGGCCTCATAGGAAGATGCTAGGTTACTGGGGAACATGCTCTTCAAAAGGGGTACAGGTCCTCCCCCTCTTTTCCTGGAACTCACTCTGTAGCCCAGGCTGGCCTCAAACTCACAAAGATCCACCTGCCTCTGCCTCCTGAGTACTGGAATTAAAGGCATGTGCCACCACCACCCGGCTACATATGATAAAATTTTAGAGTGACAATAGCTACACAAAGGGAACAGAACATAAGTAATTTATATCTCATTTACTTTCCAAACTTTATTAAATGATGGGGCTGGAGAGATAGCCCAGCAGTTAAGAAAGCTTACTGCTCTTTCAGAGGACCCAGGTTCAGTTTGCAGCATCCATGTCAGGCATCTCACAGCCAACTGTAACTACGGATCCAGAGACTCTAAGCCCTCCTCTGGCTTCCTTAGGCAACTGCACATACATGGTGAACATAAATTCACACAGGCACACACACATACACATAATTTTATAGAGTGAGGTTACAGTCTATAAATTAATCTTTAAAGCTAAAATGTAAATTACAATCCTGTAATAAATTCTATTTTAAAAGTTGGACAATTATTGGCTTGGGTCCAGAAATGACAGCAATTCGAAAACATCCAGAAAAGAACGTGCAAGACAAGTTTCGATAGTATAAGTGGCTTGCAGATTTTTATAAGTTCAACAAATAAAAATATCTCAGAATGTTGATCACATAAATCAGCTGCCTATCTAATTACCTCTTTATTGCTTACCACATCAAATTTATAAACAAAAGCTAACTA